GCGCCGATAGCCTTGCCATATCCTCGCTTAGTATAGGCTCCATGTCAGTGGGTGCGCCTGTGCATGTGACACCATCGATCCACTTGCGCGCCTCTGGGCCCAGTTTGCGTATAAGAGCCTGCAGTTCGTTCTCCTTTTCCATCAGAGCTTTGCGGAAGCGACAATTGGTGTTCTTAACATCGCGAAGCCGCTGCTCTAGCTCACAGACCGAAGAATCGCGACGATTCTTGGACATAGGGCGTAGAGTAGCGCGCACTCGCTTGTCCACAACGCCCTGAGGATTGCGTTTGAGTTCGACGAGCTGAAATTCAATAAGCCGGGATTAGATAAGTTTGCTGCCAGACAACACAGCACACAGCAAGGAAAGTTCTCAAGTTGAAATTTGAGAATATAGGACAGAACATACATATATCAGAAATACCGATAAATAGTAATATCCAATTATAGAGTAAAGGTTTTCAATGTTTCTACGGCATTGCTGATATACATAGCTAAGTATGTAGATAGAGTTAAAAGTTTATAAAAAGTTAGTAGTGTTATGTAGCATCAGCAAAGTTTAGAATTTAGTAACGTTTTTGTTTGTTATGAGCGTAAAGAGTAGCGCTAAAGGAAATGCTGATCATTTGAAATGCAGTCCATTCGATTGATGGCATTCGAAATGATCAAACGAGCAATATTAAACAACATTCAACAAAATACGTATGCACTCGTATGTTTGTTTGTATATAAGTATTATACGATTATATAACAGCTACAAAAACTACAAAACTTCCTTACTACCAGTCTTACTTTCGGTACGAACACCAAACACAAAGTGGCTGTCGTACAAAAAATTATAAAAAACGAGAGTAAGACAAAAACTAAATCCTTGCGATCCGATAAAACCAGCGATATGGCCGCGCCGGCAATACAAGTAATGAACACATTATAAACTGAGAAGCCAATGTGCTTGGAGTCATTTAGGGCTGGTATGGAGACATGCCTGGTTTCCCAGGCCAAGAAGGCGCCAAAAACCTAACGGTGGGAAATAAATTGTATAATAATCATTTATAATCATAAGTGTCAAAGTATACACACCAGTAGCAAGCCTTTATATGCATAGATGATGCTGACAAAGATGGTCATGTGCTCTGATTGGCAGTACTCATTCTCGGGTATGACCAGCACATCATCAATGTTCTCGTGGTGCTGAAATAATAACAAGTTATTGAAGAAATTCCAATAATGCAATACTCACTTTTGGTTCCAGCTGCTTCGTCTCACGATAGAAAGGATCGGCTACCTGCCAGGTGGTTATTATCGCTATATCAATAGCCAAAAGCACGCCCACAACCATAAAAAGCTGATAGTCCTTGATCACCTTCTTGTTCAGCTTCAGATCGGTAAAAATCGAATGCACTCGCCAAGTTTTCGAAAACATGGCACCAAAAGCTAAACTGAAACCGGCCATCAAAATCCATGCTCGAGCCGTGCATATATAGGGAAAGGCTGCTACACTGCTCAACGTAGTATCCAGGCCCAGGAAAATGATGCTTAGATAGGTCAGCATGCAGCCAACAATAATCAGATTATTCAAATGTGGACTTGACATTTTGATGTAGCTGCAAGTAATATAGACTTGGTAAGTTAAGGAAGAATATCTAAGGGAAGTTAAGACCTTACCGTTGATTACGATACTTGATGTTAAAGGCTAGGAAAACGGTGGCTATTATCACGCCAATGACAGAGGCGCTGGCTGACACAATATATATGGTGGGATTAACTTGGCTGTGTTCTATATAGATCACCGTGCGATCCTTGGGTGGCGTCTTGCCCACCCAACGTACGGGCTTGCCCAGCGTCATATCCAAGTGCGCTTGCTGTGAGTGGTATTCACCTATCTTTTCCATTTGTCCCACTTGAAACTGGGTAATCAGAATGTTAGCCTTGCGTTCGTTGTTATAGAAGCGTACCGGTCCCTAGAAATAATAAATATAGGCTATTTAATAGCTTTTTAATTTTAGGGCTAATACCAACCGTGACACCCTCAAAGGAAGTATTACGTAATGCTTCCAGGAAAATATTTTCCCAGTCTTTGACTCGATAATCAAAATGTGTTAGCAGATCTTCACGTTTTTCCGCTACATACTGTATGGCCAGTGCAGCTGCCCAAATACCATCGTAGGTATATCCATGGAAGCGAGAGTATTCCGTGCCACGTAATCTATCATACTCAACCAGATACTCATCCGCCGTCTGGAAAATAAATAACCCATAAGAGGTTGCATATATGGCCAAAATCTCGAGTCATCTTACAATGCCTGCAACTGTTATGTCTCCGCTGGTTGAGAGCGGTAGCAAATCGACTAATATGGCACCCTCCAAAGCCGTGGCAATTTCCTTCACGCTGCATTCGCTGTCCATCGTCATATTCCACCAATTCGTGGAGTAGGTAGCCATAATCAGCCACTGATAGGCGCGTCCATACATTTGCAATCTGAAAGCGGCATTATTACGAGCATTACAATATGAAAATTTTGGGAGGACTTACTTGAATGCCTCGCAGAAAACTTTGCGGGCAAAATGCTCATTAAAATTGCCCAAAATTATTCGCACATCTTTTTCCCGCAGCTTTTTCAGTGACTCGGCTACATCGTTGACGAAACTTTGGGTCTCTACCACCTCCAGCTCCATGGAATCCAGATCAGCAACCATATGATTGTGTGGCAGTGAATATCGTGGTTCGTTCTGGTACACGGTGCCCACTCGCGTCCAATTAAACTCTTTGAGCAGCGCTAGGCGTGGTGCATTAAATGCATTCTCCGAGGGCACCACTCGAAAGAAATTGGGAAACGCATCCTTGGTGAACATGGGATGGGTATCCGCATAGCTCAGCTGTGTCAAATGCCAGTGTTTGCTGGCCTTGGCTATGGGATCTGTGACATGCGTGCAGGCTGCACCAAAGAGCATCACCTTGTTAGGACCAGAGTGCATCATGTCGAAAAAAGATTTCACTCCCACGGCAGCATTGCACTGGAAATGGGAAAAAACATATAATAACTACTTCGCGGTTCGTGTAAGCCAATTATACCTGTGTATCATTCCACCACATATGCAGCCTGTAGTTGGTCAGTATCTGCGGATGCTCATTGACATGACCAAGCGCCAGCTTGACACTGGGCATAACTCCGCGTCCCGTGTACGAGTTCTCAACGCCATCACCATATGGAAAGAAGCCTGCTATATAGACATCGGAGCGTTTGGCAGTTCTGGACTTAACGTTACTCCAGCCGAGGCTAAAGCACAGCAGCAGCGACAGGACCAGATGTGGATGGGACATATTGTGTGCGCAGGCTGTAATGCCATTGAATATCATTAAATGTGATATGCCAATGATGGGAATCGTGTATAATGTTGTCAATAGATAAAAACGAAACAATTACTGAAACCAAACACAAACAATAGGTTTGCATACGAACATATGTATATGCACATATGTATGTATCGTATGTATGTATGTATGGTATGTATGAATAGTATGTATGTATATTTGTAATTCCTTCATATTATTTTTTTTTAACTTGCTTGCATATTGTATGTGTGTATGCATTGGTTGCAATCGGCTGCCTGTTTTACCAATTATGGCAAATACTTTTCCCGGGCAAATTAGGTTAATACTTGTGTTTGCCTATATAAACGGTTCATAAGGCCTTCAAATGCGATGCACTTTGATTTGTTCAAAGTCAAACCCAGTAGTAGAACTATGAAATTGGTTCAAGGTGCTGCTGCGCCTGACAGGCTGTGCGTGTCGATGCATGTCACAAACAAATTTACAAACACATGCACATACATACATACATATGTATATACACACTTTGCATGCTTTGCTAATACATTCATATGTACACTTATTCGTTATTGACCTTATTGATCATACAATGTAGTCAAAAGACCACGTAAAGGCTATTAATCATTCAATTTGCATCCTTTCATTGTTCAAGCTAATAGTTTTTATATTAGCACAGTTCACTTTATGGCACATACATACATACACATACGTACGTGGCTTGCACATATTTTACAGTTTTTGTAACGGTTGTTTGCAGCGTACGATTTGCATCTGATTTAATTTACAGTTACACCTACCAGCCAGTTAATTGATGTGCACAACTTATTTAATAACTAAAGACATATTTAAATAGTTTTATTTGATTTCGTAAGCTGCGTTCGCTTCTTTGGAAGTTGCGTGGTTCCGAAAAATTGTGTATCCGCACAAATTGACAGTTGACCTGGCACAGCCAAAGGACACGAAAATGCGCATGCCTCGAAAATTGACAGCCCACGCTTTAGGCCACAGTTCGCGTTGTCACAAACAGCAAAAAATAACTGTAAACAAACAGGCAACAGGTGGCTGAGCTTAAGGACTTCTGTTTTGCTAGCTGTGTTCGCAGGCTAACGGCTGTTTGGCATTGTTATGACCGTTGCCAGGGACTACGGAGACGGTATATAAAAACACCGAAAACAAAATTCATAAATAGAGTGGTACTCAATTACCAAATTAAAATTACAGTCAAATAATGGACGACTATGCGCCCAGTCGTTATAAAATGCAAGATAAAATTGGCGAAGGTGTTCACGGTTGCGTGTTCAAGGCCATCGATTTGCAGCGCAACGTGGAGGTGGCCATCAAGAAGGTCGCATTAAAGAACAAATTTGGCAACATATCCTTGAGTACGCTGCGCGAAATAAAAACACTTCAACTGTGTAATTCGGAATATGTAAGTTACGATCTGATAGCAAATATTATATGTATTTATGTTGCCTCAACGTTGCTGTTGCAGATATTAAACATTATTGAGATATATCCCGATCTTACTGGACTTTCGCTGGTGCTGGAGTACATGCCGGACACACTGTATAGTCGACTGAAGAGCGAAGTGAATCCGTTGAGCCGCCAGCAGGTGCGAAAATATGCCCTGATGATGTTCAAGGGCATGGCATACCTGCATGAGGCGGGCATTATGCACAGAGACATCAAGCCCGCCAATTTGCTAATCAGTCATACGGATGTCCTGAAGATTGCCGACTTTGGCTTAGCGCGCCTGTACTTTCCCGAAGAAGAGTCACGCCTTTATTCGCCACAGGTATCCACGCGGTGGTATCGTGCACCCGAAATACTCTGGGGCAGTCAGAAATATGGACCTGCTGTCGACCTGTGGGCATGCGGTAATGTGTTGGCCGAAATGCTACGCGGCGTACCGCTCTTTGCAGGCACAACAGATATCGAGCAATTGGCGATTATAATACGTACGTTGGGAAGCCCGCGGCTAAACGAATGGCCAGAGCTTACGGCGCTGCCGGATTACAGTAAAATAAGGTGAGATGTCCGCTTGCTTGCAGAGTGGGTTGATAATTAATCTAATTGTTGCTGGCAGGTTTCCCAATTCGGTCGGCGTACGTTGGGACAATCTGTTTCCAAGCTGCACACATGCTGTTGAAATTGATTTGGTATCGAACCTAGTCGTATATAATCCAAAGAATCGTCTTAAGGCCACCGAGGTGAGGTGAATAATAAGTGACGCAATTACCATCCACAAATCTCTTTCCATCTATATTTTCAGGCTGTCGAGCACAGTTATTTTCATTAATTTAAGATACTTGTATTTACACAATTGGTTGACTAACAGCTAAAATGATGCATTTAGGAGTTCTCCGATTCTTTGTATCTGTATAATAAACAAAGTAATAGTTAAGCATTTGCCATTGATCCCTTAGATGTTGCACTTACTTGCACTTCAAGCAGGTGAAGAATACAGTCTGACCTTCATCCGCCGAGCGAAGCTGCAAGGTGGCATATGACATTTTGTCGTTGCCGCATTTGGGGCACTTCCGTTCTACAACTGGACCATCGGCCTCTGCAGTATCGGTCTCACGGTTTCCTTTTTTGGACAGCTTACTGGGATCGTAGGAATTAAAGTGTATTGTGTACTCGGATGTCTCACCGCTATAAACTGAGAGTCCGGCGTATTGAGATTAAGCAATAAATTACTATTAACAATAGCTTACCATCTGGAGAGAACTCTTGTTTACAGTTATAGCAAAAGACGTTTCCTTTAACTTGCAGAGGCGGCAAAATTGATCCACAGGACGGGCAAAATCCTGGGCGATTATTGAAAATTTCCATTGCAAATCAAAACAAGTCTATGCCGCACGTGCAAGTCACTAGTGTTGTGAAATACGCTTTTTTGTGTTCATCCATAGCAGCCAGCTTATGTAAGTGACATAATCCATCTGTTGACTGACCGAAAACACAACACCCTATGAAACCAAAGAGCTTGTCTTTCCACAACAAAATTATCTACTGAGTACATGAATTTATTACATACACATTTGTAAATGTATCTATTTAAAAAACAAAAGAATTATTTTTCAGATTTTTCTTCCGCTTTGGCGGTTTCAGCTTCAGCTTCACTGCCGCTTGTCTCCTCCTCGTCGTCATCATCGCTTTCGCTCTCATCGTCATCACCATCGTCCTCGTCGTCATCGCCATACGTATAGCCAGCGCTACCACTAGCCCCATAGCCCCCATAATAGCCACCATAGCCCTCTTCGTCGTCACTGCCCATGCCTTGTTGTTGACGGCCAAATTTATGGGATCGCGTGGACATGCTCAAATCCTTTGTCACAGACGTTTCATAATTGCACTTAGGGCACGGTATAGCCTTGTTCTTATCATACTTGAATCCCTTGCGGCGCACATGGTCCTCGCAGTAGCACGTCTTGCAGCGCAAGCATGAATATTGACCCAGACGATTGCATGATTGGCATTTATAGTTTTCCGACTCCAGCACCTGGCACGAGGCCTGATGCTCAAATTGGTCGTCTTCACACAGAAAACCGTCGCAAAAGGAGCACTTAAAGATGCGTCCACCATGCTCCCAGACACCACGTTCGCACTCTAGGCACACAGCGTTCTGCAACGGGCAGGTGCAGGCGTGCGTGGTTAGGCATTTTCGCCCGTGACACACCCAAGCCTCGCAGAAGTCGCAAATGGCACCGACCATGCCAGGAAATCCAGTCGTGTACACGCCGGGATGTTTGATTACACAGTCTCCCGTCTTAAGCATGCACTTAATCTTGCCACATTGTGCACAAATGGGCAAACGCTGCACACTTTGGCAGAAATAGCAGAAGGCACGAGACTTTTGCTTTTTCTCACACTTGTCGCAGTCCATCGGTGCATTGCAAGGCAGATCAGCCAGAGGAACCTCTCGTCCCCTAATCTCTTTCAAACGTAACTTTTGCTTCTCTGCTTTTTTGCGCTGGCCGGTTTTCTTTTTCGGCATCTTGACTTGTGTGTCGTATTCGAAAAAAAAGAGCTAGTGAACTTGTTAAGATATGTACGGTGATCAGTTGATATGTAACCAAGTATTTTTTGGTTAGTCTTCGTATACCAATATATCAAAATACGTACTTAGCCGAGATTATCTCGCAAGAGAAATTAAGAAAAACAATTTGCTTATTCAGAACACTATTTATTTAATGTATTGCGTACATAGTATAAAATGTATATAATACAATAAAATTTGAGATTCAATGGTATGAACAAAAATTGATATCACTAACATTTGATTTTTACATATATTTTAAGAATATATGTATATGTATTCAGCCGGTTTATATCCAAGGAGAGATATATACTTATCATCACAAATTCATTATAAGCAGCGTACTTTCCTGAAAAAGAAAATATAAAAACCCTGCACAACACTACTTTGAAAGTATCGTGACGTTTTCCAGATTTGGTCACACAGTCTGGCATTACATTTCAATTTTCATTATTCAACTCAAACGTGTGAAGCATTGTGCTGTGTCGTTTTTCAAAATACAAAGGAAAAAAGTAACAAATTAAGAACAATATATAAGATGGGCGGTCATAACGATCAAAATGGAAACTCTAATGGCCAGCATGATGATGTAAGTAGGAATATTATAGGCGCTAAGATTTTGTGATTTGGGTAGTTGTATGCATGTGTGGGTACATACGCGAACTTAGTGACCGCCATTTTGAAATTTTCTACATGTGCGTCAGCGGGGTATAGGTTAGGTTTGATTTGATGAAAAAAAAAATCGATATGAAACTTTTGTTCTTTTATATTTAGGACTCCATTACAGAGCCAGAGCATATGCGTAAATTGTTCATTGGCGGTTTGGATTACCGCACCACCGATGACAATTTAAAAGCGCACTTTGAAAAATGGGGCCAAATTGTCGATGTGGTCGTCATGAAGGATCCACGTACGAAACGCTCACGCGGTTTCGGCTTTATTACATACTCGCATTCAAGCATGGTGGATGAAGCCCAAAAGGCACGTCCACACAAAATCGACGGACGCGTCGTCGAGCCCAAGCGTGCTGTACCACGCCAAGACATTGACTCGCCCAATGCAGGCGCCACTGTCAAGAAGCTGTTTGTAGGCGCCCTGAAGGACGATCATGATGAGCAGAGTCTGCGTGATTATTTCCAGCACTATGGCAGCATTGTTGACATCAACATTGTCATGGACAAAGAGACTGGCAAGAAACGTGGCTTTGCCTTTGTTGAGTTCGACGACTACGATCCCGTGGATAAAGTTGTGTGTAAGTACAAAACTGAAACACTTATGTACATATACTATGGACAGTCCCAGCTCCGCATAGCAATGTTTGATGTGTCTGTGCGGCGTTTCATGACTGTAAGAGAAATGTTGCACATATTATATCTTTGTTAATTGGGCACCCTGTATGCCTAATTGATGAAAACGTATGTTCCACAATTGGTGAGATAATTAACACAGTACTGACAAATTGACAGGCTTGACCAACGCTTGTACGGTTTCCCTTTGAACGCTGTGAGATAAATAAAAGCGTCGGCTAAGCTATGTTATGCGAATGTATCTAAAATCCAAATTCAGCGTAACACGCAGCCTCGTTACATTAAAGCAATACAAATATTATACGATTGAGATATGTATAGAAACAATATGACCTCCCAACAAGACTTCAAGCCCAGCCAGACATTCGCACCTGGATGCTTGTGCATTACTGACTCACCAAGTAAACTCATCTACCTCGGACTGCAATAATTAAGTAATGTTTCACAGTCCCAGCTCCGCATAGCAATGTTTGATGTGTCTGTGCGGCGTTTCATGACTGTAAGAAGAATTATGCACGTATTATATCTGTTAATTGGGCACCCTGTATGCCTAATTGATGAAAACGTATGTTCCACAATTGGCCAATAAATAAACACAGTACTGACAAATTGACAGGCTTGATCCACGCCTGTACAGTTTCCTATTGAACGCTGTGAGATAAATGAAAGCGTCGGCTAAGCTATGTTATGCGAATGTATATGAAAAGTTTGTTCAGTGTAACACGCAGCCTCGTTACAATTTAATATATTAGGCAAAATACACAGTCCCAGCTCCGCATTGCAATGTTTGATGTGTCTCTGCGGCGTTTTATGGCTGTAAGATTAAAACCCAGCCCATATTATATTTTAGTTATTGTTGTAATTGTGCATCAATGATCAAAAAGTATTTGGCACAAGTGGTTTTAGCTCAAATTACAAATCTTACAAAACTTGCCTCGTGTTATACATTACTTACAGTTTTTTCTATGCTTTTTAATTGCAGTGCAAAAACAGCACCAGCTGAATGGCAAAATGGTGGACGTGAAGAAGGCTTTGCCGAAGCAAAATGAAATGGGCGGCGGCGGTGGTGGCGGTCGTGGACAGGGTGGTCGCGGCGGTGGCGGTAATAGGGGTGGAAACATGGGCGGTGGTGGCAACTTTGGTAACCAGAACGGAAACTGGGGTAATCGCGGCGGTAATAACGACAATTGGGGCAACAACAATTTTGGCGGCGGCTACGGCGGCGGCAACAATTGCTGGGGCAATAACGGACCATGGGACAACAATTGGGGCAACAATGGCGGCAACTTCGGTGGTGGCGGCGGTAACGGTAACTGGGGTAACAATGGCGGCAATGATTTTGGTAACTATCAGCAAGGCTACAGCGGTGGTCCACAGCGAGGCGGCAATTTTGGCAACAATCGCATGCAGCCCTACCAGAGCGGCAACTTTGCCAACAAAGCAGGTAAGCATCAATCCAACATGTCTCATCCAATTTCACATACGATCACTTGAAGCTCCCAGTTCGAGTGCACAGCGAGAGCTTCGCGCTTTAAAGCGTCGCTGTGTATTTGTGCTGGGCACGGGATGCGTAGATAATTAAGAGTAGCCTGACGGTACGTCCATAGAGTTAGCCAGTTTTAGTTTTATAAAGAGTGCTGTGAAACGAATGCACAAGACTTTGTGCTTATGCAGTCGTAACACACACACACACACACCCACGTTGAAGTCCAGTTTTGTTTAGCTATTAGAGTAATCTTTTTGGGTTTAGTTTTTGAGCAGACTTTTTAAAAGCGCATGTGGGTTTTCTTTTGTGTTTTCAAGGCGGTGGCAATCAAGGCAATTATGGTGGCAACAATCAGGGCTTCAATAACGGTGGCGGCAACAATCGCAGATATTGAGGCGCCCCCAGACGAGGTGAGCATAGTCATAAATTTAGTTAAGGACCCTAACAAAAAAAAAAAAAAAATCAACAATTTGCGATCAACCTACCAACCACGCAGCCATATATATGTTTATATATATATATTTGTATATATATATTCATTTATAAATATATTTGCATATTTTTTCTGTTATTTTTTTTTTTTACAAACAATTTGCGTAGGTTTCTTGCGTTTTAAATATAAATACACATATAGCTCTCTTTCTTATCTTATCGGCATTTTCCTGGTAGCTTCTAACAGCATCTTAGTATATAGATATTGAAGATTGAATAAATTTTTCTTTTAAAACTCCTTTTCAACTATTTGCAAACTAATCTTTTTAAGTATTTATTTTGTGTAAACGTAATTAGAAAAAAAAAAAAAAAAACAATTTAAGTACTGTTAGAATGCATTACAACAATTTATTTAAATAACGTTTCTCATTTATCGACATTTTATAGGTGGTAAATTAGCAGTGGCTCAGTTTATTCCCAAAAGTCAAAGTCAAGTAAACGATACGCAATTCAATGATATGAGCAACAACTCATATACCTAAGAAGTTTTCCGAGAACATCCATACCAATATCATGACAGAGAAGATAAATATCAGGAACAGTGCAGTGCAGTCGTGTGAGATTGGTTCAGTCAAAGTCAGTACAAGTACAGAGCAGAGCAGTATGTGTGTGTGTGTGTGTGTGGTGCGTTATTCAGAGAGCAGTTGCAACAGCAGCAGCAGCAGCAACAGCAGCAGCAGAGTTAACAGAACTTACAAATGCAGAGAAGACAGAAGTGAAATGAAGAGAAGTGAATTAAGCAGCAGCGAGACCACCCTCACACATACGCATCCAGCAGTACACGTACACAGCAGCTGGCCAGGATTCAATGAGAGTAATTTGCACAGTTACGATACGATATTATGATATACGATAATTGATTTAACACATACGTCAAACCTACCTATTCAATATTCAAAATAGAATAATATTTATATTCATCATTTTGTAGCCAACCTAATAATTAAAACAAAAGGAACATTGTAAAATAGTAATGTCGCATACAACTCGAGTTAAATTTTGTACCCTTATAGCCACAATCCTTCAGTAAGCAGTAATATTACTTAGTATATACAAAAACACATTAAAAACGAAAAACTTCAGGGCGACAGCCGACTAAATCTATATTCAAGCGACCACTTCCAAATGGTTGAATGGCTATCGCCCAAAATTTCTGATAATCAGTGCAAAAATCTACACAAATCTATATTTAAACAAATGTATTAATATTTTTCTTTAGGTTTAAGCTTCTCATAATTTTAAAATCGAGTAGAGCGTGCGCTCATCTTTTTCAAGAGCCGCTCGCGCTTGTCTAGCATTAAATACTACATATATTTACATATATATCTTAGCGAGGAGGAGCTTCTTATGCTCGTTTTTGTAAGTGACTATGACGCATTGAACTAAATTATCTCCCAAATGTTTAGTTGTAACCAAAAGAACAATTAATTGTAACCGAAACCTTGTAGCAGTTTGTATGCAGTTCTCAAAGGTCAGCGCCATTAAGGATTTCTAATATGTTAACAAAATTTACATTTTAATGTAGCAAAGAAAGATATAAAATACAGCAATGAATTTATGTAAAATTGACAAAAAAAAAAAGAAAAAAAAAGAAAAAGAAAACAAACAAAAAATACCAAAAACAAATCAAAAATGTTGTTTAGTTCAAGCCTAGTCTTGTTTATTTATTCATATCACATCTCTTTAGTATAAGTCTTGTTTATGTTTAGAACAGGCAAAAGGCGCAGCAGCAAAGCAAGCACAAAGCAAGGTGCCAAAGTACATTCCTATGTAAGTTGAAAGAGGCAAGTAAGCTGGTAGAGTCAGTATGCCAAATATCTTATATAATGGTAGCGATATTTGTGGGCGGGCACCTTTTATAATTTCTTTATTTCGATTTATTTTCATTTAACCTGGTTTCCATTTGGAATGCACACATTCTATATGCTGTTATATGTCATTTAAAATTATATATATTGTAATTTTTGTTCCAAGTTGGCTAAAAAGTAATGCAAAGCGCTGAAATGACGGTCGCCAAGCTAACTCAGCCACAAAGCGGACAATCTACACGTGCAATTGGGTCAGCACTGCCAAACATTTGCGGCAACCCTCGGAATGGTCGACTTGGGTAAGTTGTAGCTGCACACGTAAACAGGGAAGTGTTGTAATTTTCAGGTAGCCATTTAAACGGATGGATGCGCGCTGCCTACACAATTGAGTTTATTTGTTTTTAATACATATATAAATTTTTAAATAAATACTAAAATTTTCAACGCACTTGTTTTTATTTCAAATATAATACCGCTCTCATTATGTGCTGACAGTGTGTACACACTGCCGCAGTAACCGATAAGTTCGCTCTGTTAATTAACATTGTTATCGCATGTTAAATTGGTGCCGGTAAACATGTATGTTGCAAATTTGGAAGAGCTACATCACGAGCAGAAATAAATGACATGTATATTAGCAGACTCGAGATAATCTTTAAAATGTAAAGAAAACGCTTGGCCATATTGCACATAATCGCGAGCTAATTTTCGGGGCGTTCCTACCAAGCACGGTGTGTGCACATCTCTAATTGCATTGCACTGGTGCTGTTAATTAACAGTGTTTTCACAATGTTTTGCTAAGCAAGGTACAAGAAAATTTAAAATATATTAAAACAAATATACGCTGAAATATTTAACCGATTGTCAGACGCTTTGGTAATTTTATAATGGAGACCAATCGCACGGTCCAATTTATATATAACTACAAGGATTATGCAGGCAAAGATTGTGAAGCCAAGCTGGATATTAAATTGCCTTTTGAGGATGAAAGCCTTGAAGAATTGGTTACACAGCTTTTAGCTCAAATGGATCCAATGATGCGGTATTTGGACGAAGACATAAGTAAGTGGAATGGATAAATCAGAACAGCTATCTCTAATCAGACACTCCCCCAAAAAGATTTAGAGAAGGAACTAAAGTCGTTTATTGACCGTGAGCATCAGAAATTCCACGATGACTACGCTGAGAAATTGATCTGTCAAGCGGCCAACGAAGAGTTAGACTTAGAATCTATAGTGCGAAATACAGAACGTCTGTATAAAGAAGAATTGCTGCAATTTGCAGATCGCATTGGTCCAAGCGACGAAGACATATTTGCGCAGAGCTTTCATCGACTGGTGCATTCCTCCTCTTTAGAGGATATACTAAAACGGGAACGTGGCTATGCTAAGGTCATAGCCGATATGACCGAGCATATGGACTCTGAGGTGGAAACTTTAAAAAACTCTCAACAGCAGGAAATGGACAGTCAAATCAATCAGCTGGACATAACGACCACATCGGAGGACATTAACAATCTGCTGGCACAGCAATATACAACGCACAACTTTGTACGAAAGCGTTACGAATCCGAGCTGGAGGCCATGATGGGCCATCAGAAAAATGAGTATCGCAACTGGATAACCAGCCAAGTTAGTCAAATGTTCCAAGTCTCGCCAGTCTCCACTCCGCTGGGCAATCGTTCCTCTATGTTCGTCTCGCAGCAGCCTTCAATGGAGGAGAGCTTCACCATACATTTGGGCTCTCAACTGAAGCACATGCATAATATTCGCATACTCAGCGCTAATGTGACGGACCTGTGTAGTCCGCTCCACGCGGATGAAAACTTGAATGGTCTCAACATGGCCTTGGGCCTTTACTCGAGCTCCCTGTGCGGCGTGGTCGTCCTGACTCCTTCTATACAGGCACAGGCTAATAAGAGCATAATCAAGAATGCTAACAGATCGACTGAGTTTCATTTTGATCAGATGGATGTGCAGCTAGAAAAGATAGAGAAACAAATTCGGGCACTTAACACCAGTGGCACAAGCAACTCACTGAGTACTGGAAGCGGCAGTGGCAGTGGCAACAGTGCCGAAGGTAGCGCCACATCGTCGCCAATTAAACAGCATGTGCCCAAGCTAAAGACCGGCGATTTTTTTATAACCAAACACTCGAATCTCTCACAATCGCACGTCATATTTCATTTGATATCCGATGAGCCCATCAATAGTCCCAGCGAAATAAATTCACGCCATCCAGTTATCTTGGGTCTGCGCAGCATTTTGAAGACTGCCAGTCGGCATGATATAACCACATTGACGATCCCAGCCCTGCTGCGCCACGAGATGAGCGAGGACATGACAGTACAGTGGTGCGTTCGACGGGCAGAACTCGTATTCAAGTGCGCCAAGGGTTTTATGATCGAATCAGCCTCTTGGGGTGGCGCGGAGTTAAGGTAAGCTTTTGATTAATAAACTATAAGATTATAATGAATTTACTTTGTCGTTTAGTACATTGCAATTGTTGCTGCCACACGATATCTCTGAGGAGCTGTTCACCACATTGGCGGGCATGGTGCCCAATGTATTCCGTGTTGCCAATCCAAAGATACTCGTTGATAATAACAAATAGTTATTCGTAAACACATTCCAAGGGAAATATTTCGACTCAAATTTATTTATATGAATATACACTTTATTAGGCTTTATAGTTTATATTTAAATGTATATGCTTCTTTTCATGTCGCAAACAGTTGTTTAAACAAAAAACACACTCAGAATTGTTGTAAATGTTCCTGTATCCAATTTCGACAATATAATTATCCATAGTTTTTTAATTAAACTTCAATGCAAACGTTTTGCAAAACTACAACACTACTTTTTTATAAATACATTTATATTGTATAGGTAATCTGTGTGTGTATATGTATTTATGTATATTATTTCCAAATTTAAATGTTTATCTTTGGTTTCATTAGACCCCGTCATGCAATTTGTGTCCATTTTTTGTATAATGTGTGGGTGTAATTCAGTTTGTGTTCTTCGGTTATCTATAATGGTTAATATGAATATTTGAATAACTCTGCTTGTTGTTAACTTGTAAATATGCGTTTTGTCAAATAAATATATATGTATATATGTGTTCATTTATATTTAACAATTAATTACGTTATGTTTCCTTTTAATCAACATTTCGCTGTTAATATCTTTTTTTTTTGGATTTAGCCAAGTACGTTGTATAGTTGTCTGCCTGCTTGTGTTTTGCTGCTTTGCAGTGAGAGATAGAGTTTCAGAAAATATAATATCTGAAACTTTGTTAATGAATAAGTGTCTTGCGTCTCCAGGTCTTTCGGTTCTCGAATTAATAAAACATGGGTTTGTGTGTGTGTGTTTCAAATGAGTACAGGAACGGGTTACATTCAGTGTTTTGGGTTGATAAAAGAAATTTTGGGCTTAGAGTATCATGCCATAGAAAAGTTGGTAATAAGTTTAGAAACTGATTATAAAATTGACGTAATCAGCATTATTATATACTCATATATCTCAGTTTCATATGTTAAAATTGTTTTAATTCTAGTTATAAAATAAATTATATTATTCAGCCATTTCATGAATATAGTTAATGTTAATGTAGTATGGCGCATATAATTTAAACGGTCGTAGCAGACCAAATAAAACTCTTTAATAAAATAATTGAGTTTCTGCAGCATAACATATTCCATAAATAAATTAAAAACAAATTGGTTCCAGCAATGGGAGACTGAAGTATAATTTTCTTCTCTTGTTTTTAATAGTTATTTGGTTTTTATTTTTACACCCTTGCAGAGACATTTTACACTTTTTTTAGTTGGATCTATTTTGTAGATGAGAAACGGACTAGCACATCATTGAGTTGCCATAGGAACAAAAGTTCTCAAATGGAATTGTGTGTCTGCAAGGGTATTTAATTTTCGGCATGCCGAAGAGCATAATTTTGTTGATTTTTAATTTCGATGCTACTTGTAAGGAGTTATCTACGATTGCATGCCAAAAATGTACTGAAATACTCTATAATCGTTGATGAATCTACACAGCTTAATACTTTGCGCGTGCCTTAAACTACGGTCTTGCAATAGGTCTAGATGTATTTTTAGTTATATATGAAATAAGAATACATAATACGTGTGTATACTAAAATTGAAACTATCACAAAAAAACAAATACTTTTTATATAAAGTATAAACTCAATAAGGTCAAATACGAGCTACTGTTTAAATCAGTATGCAGGTTTATATCTGTGCCGGTCGCTCTGGGTTTACATTTGACTCTCCTTGCGCCACTGAAAGGTGCCCGACTTGACGCCAATGCTGGATGAGCCCTGATTGCTGCTAGAGGAGAGCATGTTATTGGTGCGTCTAATGAGCTGTGCCGCCGAATCGAAGCGGCTGCGAATGAGCCGCATTGCCGGATTGCTAGAGACGCCGCTGCGTTTGCTCTTGCTGCTTGAAGACGAGAAAACAACGAGTTACAATTTGGGTTCACGTTTAGTCATTTATAATGATAGCTTACCTTGATGAGCTGGGCTGATTCTCCTTAAGATTGCCCAAAATGATGCGCATATGCGTATCCCGCGCAAAATGATTATCGGGCAAGGTGGGCTTCGAACCGCTACCACTAGGTCCAGCACGGTCATCATCCACAAAGGCATTTAAAGCGGGCAGCTGGCCCGGTGAGCTCAGCTCGCTGCTGGGCGAGTGCGGAGGCGTTGCGTACAATGGTGACATGCATTCCATATCATACAGGTCCGCCTCATTAGTCATGTTGCTTGCTGTGCAGAAGAGTATTAGACAAGTGGTATATGCTTTGAAGCTCAAAAGAATGTTACCCAGCTGGTGCTTGTTGAGATCAGGCAGCATCTGTGAATGCCGCTGATGGGCGCCTGCGCCACTATTGCTGTTGGATTTGTGAGCCGCTGCGGCCGAGCTTGATGCATGCTTCGAGTTGACCATTAGATTGTTGCGTGAGCTAAGCTTGCTTTGACGTTGCAATTGCTGAGTGAAAGTGAGCGGTGCCTGCTGCATAAAGGAGAACATGGAGACGTCATCAACTGGCAGCCTTGGGCATAATGAAGCTATACTCACATCGTTGCTGCTGCCCGTGGATTGACTAGAGATGACGCTCTTGCGCTTGTGCAAGCTGCTCGTATCTGATTGCATGGTGTTCTGGTAGAAATTGTTCGAGCTGTGCGTAGAGCTGGAGGCATTCAGCGCCTGTAGATTGCTACCATTGTGCACTGTAGCAGTGGTGGCTGCTGAGCAAACCGAGGAAGCGGAAGCGTGTGCCGGATACGGAGCTAAGTTTTGGTGCAGGGGCAGAGCTGGCGGCTGGTCTGGAGAGCGCAGCATGCTGGCATGGAATTTCGCTTCATTGGGATTGCTAGCTTCATCTATAGAGGAATAGAGGTAAGTGGACAAGGGATTTAATAACATAACAACAGACTCTTACGTCTGCTATTGCGCTTACTTTTGGTATAGCTCTCAAAGATCTTGAGTATGCTGCTGCGACTAGACTTGGCCGCCAGCTTAATGGGCGTGCGCCCGCAGTGATCCGATTTGTAGGGATTGGCGCCAAACTGTAGCAGCGCAATGACACACTTCTCGTGTCCCTCCTGTGCGGAGATACCCAGCGCTGTGGCGCCCTGCTTGCACGCATGATCCGCCAGGGCGCCATAGTAGAGCAATATATTCATGACATCATGGTTGCCCTGCCAGGCACACGAGTGCAGCGGTGTGCGCGCTTCCAGGTCCATTGAGTTGACATCGGCGCCAGCCTCGATAAGCGTCTTCACCATGTCGGCATGACCCTGCCAGGCTGCTACATGCAGCGCAGTGCGCCCCTCGCTATCGGGAATGTTAACATCCACATTGGTCATGTCTAGCAGGTACTTGACAATGTCCAGCTTGTTCTCGAGTGCCAAAATATAAAGCGTGGTGCGCGAGTCGGCGTCCTTGGAGTTGACATCGCAGCAGAACTTTAACAAGAACTCCACCGTGTCCATGTGACCCTCTAGGCAGGCCAGACGAAAAGCGGTCTTGCCATCGTGCGCCTTCTGATCCACAAAGCTGGAGTGTATATCCAGCAGGGTCTGCACACAGCGCAGACGTCCCTCTTGGGCGGCCAAATGCAGCGCCGTCTTGCCCTCATTATCGCACTCATCGATCTTGGCACCCGAGTCCAGCAGCTGCAGGCACACCTCATGGAAGCCCTCGAAGGCGGCATAGTGCAATGGCGTCCAGCCGGCATTGTCGCGATGCGTCTCGTCCAGGCCGCGATCCAGCAGCTGACGCACTGTCTCTACATTGCCTTGAGCAGCGCCAATGCTGAGCACTGTGCGGCCCTCGGAGTCCATGCAATCGATGCCGCATCCCCAGAAGAGCAGCAGTCGCACCACAGTGGCATGGCCAGCAGTGCAGGCGGCCCAAAGCGGCGTGCGGCCCATGAAGTCAGCCAGATCCGGATCCGCGGCATTCTCCAGCAGCAGCTCACAGACCTCGGCATTGCCCTCAAATGAACTGACAAGTAGCGGTGACATGCCATCGTTGTCAAGTTGATCCGTGTTGGCGCCATGATCCAGTAACGTGGAGATTACCTTGCTATAGCCCGACGAGCCGCAAAGAGCGGCCACACACAGAGCGCTGCGTCCGTCGAGATCCAGATGATTAACATTGGCGCCATTATCCAGTAGAATTTCCACAATGTCATAGTGTCCCATGTACGAGGCGGCAATCAGCGAAGTGCGTCCTTGGCGATCCACAGAGTTGACGTCCGCGCCCGATTCAATCAACAGCTTTAAGATGTCCTCGTGGCCACTCCAGGCGGCAGCGCGTAACGCAGTGCGTCCCTCCTTGTCGGCCAAATCAATTTTGCAGGCGGGCTGCGCAATGAGTAATCGGACCACCTCGCTGTGCCCGCCCCAGGAGGCCGAACGCAATGGTGTCCATCCGTCGCGATCCGCATGGTTGACATCCACACGCTTCATGCGGCCGGTGCCATCGTTGCAGGGCTGCGAGAAGCTAAGCAACAGCTTGACCACCTCCAGGTGGCCGTTTCTTGAGGCTATGTTGAGAGCTGTCTGGCCGTTATAATCCTCTATCTCAAGATCAATGGGACTCTTGCAGGCATTGAGAGCGCGCTCCAGCAGCTGATGGTTGCCATCATTGGCAAGAATATGGATCAGGGCTTTGCCCTTGTGAAGCTCGATGTGATGCGAATCGGAGAGCTGATGCAGCGTGCTCGAGGCATTCTCGTCCTGGCTCTCATGTGGCGGTTCACTCTGCTCCGAAGGGCTGATCGTGCGCTGCGTCTCCAGCAGACAGCTCTTCTCGCTGGACAGCAGCAGATCGGCCAGCTCAAAGTCAATGTTCTGTGACTTCTCCGACAGCTCCGGCGACATGAGCGACGACTCGCAGGAGTTCTGTGTGTCGGCATTGTTGATGCCTGTCTCGATCAGCAGCTTGAGCATCTTGGCATCCGTCGGCAGACTGGGCTTGAAGAAATCGCAGAGGAACTGCGCAAACGGTTCGCTCAGCTCGTTGGTCAGAAAACGCTCCAGCATGGCGCGTGTCTTGGGCAAAAAGTTGACATCATTCTTGAAGTCGTGCTCGCACTGAGCGCAGCAGTTAAAATGATTTGTATAGAAACAATCGCTCAGGTTCAAGCGAGACTCTAGCAGCATCAAGATGAGATCCAGATCGATGTGCCGGCTGGTCAAGTACTCGCCGGATTTAATAAGATGATAGGCGAAGCGACGCACCGTGTTGGCGCACAGCGTATCCGCCACTAGTAAATAGTACATGGAGATCATGACATGGCCCTCGTTAACATCGCAGA